CATGAGAGGTAGAGTGGCATGAGTGGTGGAAAGGATCCCATACAAAGATTCATATGCTCTGACACAACATTGGCCCTTTATCACGGAGGAGTGGGCTTCAGGGCAAGGGTTTCAAGCTGAAGCTACAAGGCAGTCTCTGTAAGCAGCACCTCTGTCCTTCAAATCCTGTGTATTATTTTTATTTTTATTTGCAAGTTTTGTTTCTCAGATAAGGCATTTCTCAGTGTTTGCCTTTAGAGGTCCTGGAAATAGCTCAGTGGGTCAATGAGTAGCATACTCTACTACAAAACAAATTGGCCTTTTGCTTCAGTTTAGGGACAAGCTCATTACAAGTAGAGTGTTGCCTTGTTTGAGACACCTAAATCCTATGAAATAATGAAATTGTAATTATTAGAATATTTCTGTTGTATTATCAGGTAGTATCTTTTTCCATGTCTACCTCCTACTATGTGTAGGCATTTAAACATTGAATAACTGACCTAAATTTATTGAAACTAAAGTATTTTAGGAACTAATAGGACTTTGACCCTATGTCACGATCCTTTCATCTGAAGGTCAAAAAACCTACTATTTTTACAGAAGCAAAATACCTTGCTCAAACTTAGGTTTGTTCTTATGTTGGTAAGCTTTGCCATTACTGGGACAATATACTTGATTCACACAATTTAAAGGTGAGATTTGTTTGGCTCATGGTTCCAGTCTGGGGTTGGCTGGCTCCAAGGCAGAGAGACATTATGGTGGAAGTGTATGACAGATCAAAGCTGCTTAGCTGATGTTGGCTGGGAAGCAGAGCACAGGAGGGGAGCACCAGCAAGAACTATACTTCCAAAGGCAGGTCCCTGTGGAACACCTCCAGCTAGCAGACTCCCTTCCTAAGACCACTTTCAGCTATAGACATCTATGGATTAATCCACTCATGAGTATAGTGTTCCCATGACCCCATCATCTTCCAGTGACTCTCACAAGCCAGTTAAATCAACAAGTTAGCTTAATGTTCTCAGTCCACTTATGTGCTTCCTAAAGCTATTTTACTAAAGAAAAAGAAAACTTACGAACATTATCTTGGTTGCAGAAATCTGATGTCTAGCATGCAGTCCAAAGGATATTTTTATATTACCTGAATGCAGTTACCTGGCTATGTGTGAGACATATATTTTTTTAAAAAACTGGGGGTGGCAAATAATCACTCCTCTTGGATGATAATATAAAGTTATGTCATGCTTCTCTGTTTAAGGCTTAATAAAACAAAATGAAACAATGCACCCCACATGGTTCAACATTAAATTCAAGAAGGTGTTTAATATTACTTTTGTTGGCAACAATGATTAGAATATTGTTTTAATGTCTAATTTGGTTCCAAATATATTTCTTAGTGAGAATCTAAAGTGATTCACTATATACGGCTTTGACTAAAATAATATTTTGTTAGACTCTAATAAGATGTTAATACCCTTGTGAGCCAGGCTAGCTCCATTCAGTGTTCATCTTAATTAGCTAGCATTAACCATCATTAGGGTTTATATGGTACAATGCACATTACTTCATAACTTCCACCCAGATCACATGAGGCTAGATCATAATACATGTTATCAATCATGAATTTCCCTCTACTTTCTTAACACCTAGCTTTTATTTTAAAAGTTCAGGTCAATGTTAAGTGTAATATTTCAGCTGAAAAAGTTTTAAAGAATCAATGTTAATTAACAGTGTTAATTAAATGTTAATCATGTAAATGAAAGCATTTTTCATTCACTTACCTAGTAAATTATAGTCAGATAATATCTCATATATTATTTGAGATGACATAGGAAAATGATGTCTACCACTAAGAAATGGGGGGAAAATTGGACAAAATGAAAAAGAAATTTACACATAGAAAGTAGGGTTTTTTTTTTTTTTGGTTTGTTTGTTTTTTGTTTATGGGTGAGAAGGGGCTTGAAGAATACCTTTGTTTCCAAAGTTCTCATGGACTTACATAGATTTGAAAAGAATAAAGTCTTATATTTTGAGCTCCTGGAATAGTTGGAAGGTCATTTTTTCAACAAGGCTAATCATTCAGTATTCTTATTTAATGAAAATAAGATGTTCTGAAATAGCATTTTAGTACTTAAAGGTATTACACAGCAGTTAGGGACTAATCAACCAATGAGACGATTTGAAATAGCTAGATTTCCAAATGTGCAGGACTGTTTTATTCCTAGTCTATTGGTTATCAACATGGAATCTGAATAGAAAGTTGGGCCCTCTGTGATCTTGAAACTGTGTTATAGTTCTGAATTGTGGCATACCAACAACAGTCACTGAACAATGACACTTTCAGCCTTGCTGAACAGCAAATGTGTAAGTGCCTGCTATGCATCAAATCCCATGGAAAAAATGAGTGGAAATGTTGTATGTATAAACCTTTCTTATTCCAGCTGTGTCAGACAACGCATTAGACATATTCTGTAAAAATATTTTCACACACACTCATAGAGTTTAGGAGCCCCTTGGTTATAGGTTTACACCACAGACAAAAAAAATTGAGGCCTGGTAATGCTGGAGGCAGACGCTGACCCATACACATATAAGGCTGGACCATAGCAGCTCTCTGGATATATTGTTAACAGTATTCTTGTGTGTCATGTGAAAGGGGCTCTGATTTTTATTGTTTAGCTGAGTGACAAGACAAGGTCACTTCTCCAGGATGCTCCTCTACTCTTTCAATGTGACCATAGGAGAAACAATCACAGTGGATACTTGGTTGTGTTTGGCTTTTTTGGTTCCAGAATCCATGGTCCTTTTGTGAAACAACTTCTTGCCCATTGTATGTGGTCTTGATGTCCTGCCCTCTCAGGGTCTGTGGTAATGTATGACTCATGTTGGGTGAATCAGAGTTTTTTCAGGGATGGTTGAATTTTAGGAGGAATGATTTTAAGGAATATTCAAAACACAGCAAAATCCATCCAGTCTTCATTGGTCTGCCAGAGGATGGAGGTTAGTGGCAGTGGTTCCACAGCTCTGCTGCTGAGTGTATTTTTCCCCTTCTGCAATCCAAGTGACATATAACAAACTTTGTTCTGTTTCTTTTCTTAAAGTAGACACTACTTCTGTTGTTTGAAATTCAAGAATTGAATCTAAATGAAGAAATGATTTTCACATGCCTGTCACTGTAGCAGACAGCACATTGATTGAAGTTTATGAGTGATTTGAGGGCAAGAATGCACCTTCATCCCTACCCGTTAATTCTAATGATAAAGGGATTAAGAACGCTTTTGAGACATAGGGAAGATTTGTTTCATGCACCAAAATATTTAACGCATTTGGACAGTACCTTAATCATCCTGGGAAAAAAAACCCACACTTGTATTGCACTTTACCTGAAATTTAGATGGGGTGCATATTTACATTGTGTCACAACTCTAACCACTGTGATTTGATGCTTTTTCTATCCAGATATCTATGATCAGAAAATGGTAATTATGATCATATAGAAATGACCAAGAAGAAAGACTCCAAGAGAAATGCCTACAGTGGGACATCTTTTTTATGGATTAGAATGGCTTGGAAGTCTACTTTAGGGTTTTTACCAGTTGATGCTCTAATCCTACAGCCAGAAAGGGACTAGGAAAGTACTTTCATTTTAAAACTTCTAAAAATCTGTCTACTCTTACACTTAGAATACACACATGAGATTCTCATGGGAAACTATTTGGAGATGGCATTATTTAGCTTTCTGTCCCTGTGAAAGATAACTGAGACTATTAACTAATTTAGAGAAGGAAAGATTTATTTTGATTCATGGCTTCAGTAGTTTCAATTCATGGTGACTTGGCCATGCCACTTTGGAACTTTGGCAAGGCAGAACATCATGGTGTCAGCATAAGACAGAGCAAGCAGCTTATTCGTGGTGACTGGGGAAATAATGTGGGAAGCATGAAGGGGCCAGGTTTTAATTTCTCCTTTGAGGGTATGTCTCCATGACCTCACTTCCTTAAAACCGATCCCACTTCCCAAAGGTTCTGCCACTTCGCAGTAGCGCCACAGGTGGAGGACCAAACAATTCTACATATTTTTGCAAATCATAACAGAGATCCAACTCTTGCCTTTTAGCTCTAATGCATTCATTGATCTCAAATTTCCTCCTGAAACTTCGGAATCTATTTCTGTTCATATTAGAAAAGAAGTCATTTAGAACTTTTGACTCTTAGAATATCTTTCAACCTCTTCCACCTAATAATGAGAAACCAGAACTACTTACATCGTCAGACTGTCCTCAAGATCAAATATTCAGTACCGCAGCTGGTGATCCAGATTGTTCATTCAGTTTAAATATTTTATTCCCTTTCTTCCCAGGTAGCTATATCAGTTCTAGGCCATTGAAATGTGAAATTTGTCTATCTATTGTTGAAAAGCCAATTCTGAATGATAGTATTTGGGGTAATTTATGTTTCTACAGCTCTTCATCTAGACAGGCAATAGGCTTCTCAGGTCAGTTCACTAAGTGCCAAGTTGATGGGTTCAGAGAGAGAGTGCACCCGCAGGGCGTGCACATGACTTGGCAGGGGCTGGGCCGTGGGGCACTAGTTGCCAAGGTAAAAACACTGGGCGATGTAAGGTCAGTGCTATGATTATTAATTGAAGACAAGTATCCTCAACAGAACAAAAATTGGAATCCTCTGCCGCTCAGGAACCAGAGAATGTAAGATAGTGGCGATTTCTTTGTTCTGGGAATTAGTTGACACTATTTCATAGACTCTGCTACTCTCAGCAGGGAACAGAAGAGCGAAATATATTAATTTTTCCTCCTAAATTAGTAAATCAACTTGTGATCATAATGAAACCAGAGGAAAACATGTGTTGAATTTCTTAATTTTACTCCTTTAAAATGCTTATTTAATATAGGAACACGTCATGGATAGAGCACTCACAAACAGCAACTTTGATTATGTGATTTACTGCTCGTGCATGGATTTTGAGGGTGGACTTAAAGGAGGTACATTTTTAAAGTGCAAGCTCACCTTTAATCTTTGAAATTTTCTTGATTCAAGAATGAGTTAAGAGAAGTTACTCCTGGGATATATGCTTTTGAATTTCTTGAATTGTTTCTTCTCCTTGCCCTATAACAGGGAGATGCATTTTCACTGCCAAAAACAAAAGAAAAGGGGAAAATGACTGTGGGATAGAATGGGTCACTAAAAAATTTTAACCTTGCATTATTTAAAAAAAAGATTAAATTTTAAAAATTAGAAAGCAGTAAACATATTAATTATATATTGCATTTATGTAAAACGAGCACAGTAAAATTTTCTACTTGGTAAGTAATGATATATTTTATCACAAAAATTTTTATGATTAGGTATGTACCTTAATTAGAAATGAATTTTTCCCATGTAAAGTTTAGAGTCTTGCTTCTTACCTCTAACATTTTCAACTCTATAATCTAAGATTTTGGTAAGAAAACCTTAAAAATGAAGTTTTAAGAGTTAGGAGAATACGACAGTGTCTATTTTATAATAATGATAGTAAAAATAGAGGAAAAATACATGCAAATATCTCAAGCATCTTTGATGATTAATAATAAATAAGGGATTTCTCTTTTGCCATTCACTTATCTTAAAAAATGTGAATGAGATGTTTGTTTTCAGTTTCAAAGTTTTACATTTTATATAAGGCTTCTCAATACCAGCTTTGGTGTTACAAAAGAATGATGTGCACAGAAAAGATTTTCAGCTATTTCAAGTGATTTTTCTCCGCTCCTCGCTTTATTTTTAAGTACTGCTTTGTTTCTAGAAGCATAAATTTACACTGTGGCTTTAGTGAGTAATAAATAAGACATTGGCTAAAATGTGATGATTTGCCATGTGATACCTTATTATTTTTGTGAAGGAAATGAGCCTAATCACATGTATAAAGCACCCAAACTTTGTAATCCCAGGAGACAAGCTATGGTCTGGCTAGAGTCTGAGGAAGTACTCATTTTCTGTCTTTCTTAAGGATTTATGCAGTTCTTTGCATGTGCAGTTACCTTACTGACATTCAGTTCTGTTGTACTTTTCTGATTTGTTTTATTAAATTACCAAACACTTAATATTAAAACACTGAATAAAACACTTGGCAAATCAAATACTGAAAGCCAACAAAATACCATATCTGAGGAAATTCTCCCTTTCTCCTTTTCCTGTTTTGTTCTTATGTCTTCTGTTTTGGCACTAACATATAAATGCCAAGCAAGAGAGGACACCAACAGTCACAGGAGCATGAAGCTGATGGACTGTGTGTTAGGTCACTGCCAGGTGTGCTGTGTTTGTATTTTTGTAGGGCTGTTCATTGGGGAAAAATGGATTTCATACAGACAAAATCAGTAGGTTAAATTTTGGGGGACAATTATCTAAAAGTACAAAATAGTCTCCAGCCATCCCTTTGGGATACTGGTTAGGAGGGATTCGTTTTGGAAAGGCGAGGCATAAGTAAGCCAGTTGGTAGAACCTTGAACCTTGTTCAGAAATCACAGGGCAGCATGCCTGGCTTCCACATCAGAATGGAACCAGAAAAGATGATATGACATACGTCAATTCCCAAACAGATTCCTGTAAAACGTTTCTCCTAACACTTGATTTTCCTTTGCTGCGTCTTAATAGTATTTGTTTCTGCATCTGAGCACCGTGAACTTTATTCTTTTAAGTGTCACCAACTTAAACACATTGTTCCATGCTGCCTCTGCTCTAGAGGGTGAGATGCTTTACCTAAAACATAAAAATGGTCTGTTGTTTTGATAATGTAAAATATTTTTCTTCATTTTTGCTTTAAGTCTGAGAACTTTGGCATTTAACTAATTTGCTCTGCATTTAAGGCTGGTAGCAATATTAGGAGAGAAATACGATAATCACTTGCTGCCACAAAGTATTCTATATACTGTTCTCTTTTTCAGCTCTAGTTTCACATGTGTTGGTTCAATGGAATATTCAATAGACATTTATAGGAAATAAATTGAGAGGTGAATGTAAACCATATGGCATCTGGAGGTTTATTTGCAAAGCCCCTGCATCAAAGCTTTCTCCAGATCTCACCATATTAGCTATGTTTTTCCAGTCCAGCAGAATCAGGAAGGTAACCACAGACTTCCTTGATGGAAAACACATGAAAAACAGAGCAAATCTTAATATGTAGTTTGAGTTGCTGGTCAAGGAGCATCCCTTAAAACAATTTTATTACCAGTGCATACAGAACATTGCTTAGAACTGTCTAAAAAACATAAAATAAGTTTATCTTAAGATTTTTTTTAACATTATAGGACATGACTTCCATGTATATCCTAATAACAATTGCTTCACTTTAGTAGCATTTTAGGATTACTTTTCCAACTTGGATATATAAAAATCAACTCGAACTAGAAAAATGTAGCATTTCAATACAGTATACTACAAATGTACATCAGAATAGGAATAAAACGTATACCTTCCTGAATACATTTGCATATGAAGGCCACCATTTTAAGCTTTGGAGAATCATATTATTGTTAGTAATAGTTAAGAAACATTGATTGGACAGAATGAGAAATGATTCCCAAACTTAATTTATATATAAAAATTTCCTCAACCTTGAATGCACTCTGCTTTGTGCAGTATTACATCTGATATCAAATTAATTCTCATGCAGCCTGTTATATAAATCATCATGAAATGTCAAAAGCTTGTACATATATTTTTTAAGTTTTCACTTACTTTCCAAATAGTTTCCATTTTTCAGTGTCACAGCCTTTTCAGCCACTCAGTCAATTTTAATGATTTTTTATCAGCCTAAATTTTCCCTCTCATTTACAGTTACATTTGTGCATGTCTGTGCACATGCAGGCATGCATTATGCCTTGCAATGCAGGTGACCCACACAACAGTAATCCGGAACATTTTTCTTTTTTCTCTTCAGTTAAAATTCAATGGTCAAATGATTGGCACAGAGAAAGAATAAAAAGTTCTTGCCAGTTAAATAGGCAACATCTAAAGATTGCCTGTTAAAAATAAACATTGAAGATTAAAACAATAGAAAATTGACTCCCTGAACTCTTCCCCACAGTTCTAACTTCAAAAATTTCTAAGCACAAAGGTGTCTTGCACTTTTTTGGCAATTATTCAATTACCCATCTAAATGATGATCTCCTCCCTTTACAGGTTAAATTTCTAAGTTTATGGCTGTAAGTTAATGCCACTCATGATACAAAAAAAATAAAAAGTATGTGAGCAACATCACTTAAAAAATATGTGGCTAACTGCTGGAAGCTATTAAAAACCAAATAAACAAAAGAGATTACACTTCAAAGAAATGTCAACAGTTTTTCCTTTTCAGAACAGACGCGTTTTCTTTACTTATATCCACATCCACATCTGGAAAATGCTTATGGCTTTATACATCTTTTATGGTAAAATGAATTTATTGAGTTTTAAAATTTTCGTGATGGATTAATGCAATCTTCACAAAAGGTAAACCCACACCCTAGTAAAAAATCTGTCTTTACAAAGAAGAATGATTTCAATAATAAATAGAAGCCTAGTATTAATTTCGATTGGCAAAGTAATGTTGAGAAAGAAATTGGTTAGCTAGATTTTAAAAATATATTACTGCATAGAAATGAAAATGTAATATCTTATTCCTTATGACCTATCTTTATGTTGGCACATGTAATTCTGAAGTGGAGGGAAAAATAAAAAAAATCAGCTTGCAAAGCCAATTTGAAGTTTAAATTAATATACCTACTCCAATTAACTAACAGTAGACATACTGCAGTGAGTTTGCTGATAGAAAAATCTTTAAGGAAAGATTTCAAAACAGTTAGTGAATTTCTACAATTCTCCACAAAATTAAATAGCATACTTTTGTATATTTAAAAGATGAAATTTTTCTCATATGAAAATATGTTACAAGGTCCCGTTCACAAGGTCCAAACAACGACCTTCGTCAACTTTGAAATGTTGTCCTGTGGCCCCAAAGTGATGATGTTCATTTGATGTTTTATAATTATCTGGGTAGGCCTGCCTGCCAAGAAAAATATCATCTTTGGTATCCAATCAGACATCCTAATGTGAACAACTGATTCAAATTTAGTTTTAATGGGAAGGATTGCTTGAAATATAAGAAGAGGTGTCATCTTTATTAGTCAGACAGAAAATTAAGGAAGAAAAAACCCCTTAAAACCTAGTACCTAAAACCAATAAAATGTTTAAAATGGAACAACATAATTTGGACATAAAGTAAGTTGTCTGTAGTCAATAAAAAAGAGACAGAAGAAGAAAAATAAGCTCCAACAGACAGGTTGAGAAATAGGAAAGTAGACCTATTTTGTTTATTTATAAGTGAGTAGCAAGTAGACTCTTTCGCACTAACTAAACCAGACAGTAATTATAAACACAGGTTGGTTAAATTCCCTGCACCCTATCAAAGGAAACAAGCTTCTTTCTTTTCCAAACACTGTCATTTGTTTATTGAGCTTCTTTGGGGGCTCGGTTTCATTTAAAACTCTATAAGCACACATCTGTTACCCCCAAACAATGTCAACCTTGTTAAGTCGAACCTGAATACTCATTATACAAAAATTTGCAAGTAACCTAACAGCAATTTTTAGAGTAGCCAGTTAGCATACTAAGTGAAGAATTTGGATTAGTTTTGTTCCATTAGAGAAAAACCTTATATTATAGCGTAATCATACAGGAAGCAAACAGTCGCCGCCTCAGTAGTTTCGGATAATTAGTTACCTAAATTTTCTGAGGTGAATTCAATGAACTTAGGCTGGGGATCATTACTGCTTATAACCTGAAATACCACAATACAATCATGGTTAACAATGAAATTATAAATATTAGAGTAAAACGTCATTTTAAAAATCATTAGGTTTTTATCAGTACAGTACAACTGAGTTCCTCATTTAAGGGACTGTTTTATTAAAAAAAGTGGGAGGGGGCTATGATATTGCTTATGTTAGCTCATGTCAGATATCAGATTAAAAAAAAAACTTTAACACAGTAGACACTATTAAAACATCATTATTAGAGTTGTCATGCTTGGGTGGTTTGAGCTAAAGTGAATTTCTTGTGTTTGCTGGGAGACAGCACTAATAAATCCTGGAGTCTGCATTTCTAAGCAGTGACCCAGA